TTCGGGACCACCGTTGTGCACATTTTGAACGCTGAAGAAATACATGCCGCCGACTGCTCCTGGGACCTTTTTTGAACGGCACAGGGCAGCGCCGATGCTGCCATTTCAATAGCATCAGCTGCTCTAGTGTTAAAATTACTTGTTCTGCGCCCACTCAGATCCTGAGAGAGTGGAGAACGAGATATTTTTTTCAACGTCGCTCTAGCCCTTTTCTATGGAGAGCTGGGCGCTCCACGGGGGGCACTTGGGAGGCAGCGAGTTGGCAATCTGTAAATGGCTGCGCTGTTGACCACTGATTGGTCGATCGTGTTTATGCGCATTTGTGCACGTAATCAAGAATGCCCGTATTCGTATTAAATGTTATGCACACTAACGGAATAACAGTGCCGAAATTACATTGTCGTTAACGCAAGCATCAAGTCTGAGTGGATCAAAAGGTCCCAGATGCCTTGGAGACAGGCTCTCAAATGGCTCAAACATGGCTGATTGTACTTCTCAGAGTGCTTATCGTATCCTAAAGCACCCGTTCACATCGATGCGAGCGGGTGCACCTCCCAGAGAGATATCTCTCTGATCAGATACTCATATGCTAATTGCCAGCCCATTCACTTATCGTCCATCACATGAAACGCAGCATTCAAAACTGACGTTGCAGTAGTTGCAACACTCAAGAGCAAGGTGCCCCCATTGGTTGACGGGGTAGGCCACCACACACTCGCTCCACTCGAGTCTCTTGAGCTGGAAAGGCGGGAGTGCAGGCCTTGGCCCCCTTATCAGGAAACAGATCATGACAACAGTATCCGGGTCATGCCTTGCACCGTACAGACCATCTACGGTATCACTCAAAGTGACCGTCATTCGGTATATATCATAACGTACCCGTCCACAGAACAGGTGGCCATTATGAAACGCCTCGAGGACCAAGGCAAATCTCTGAAACTGGTGGATAAGCAGTCCCTGAAGCGCAAAGATGGGCCAGAATTCGGGCATTCTCATTACGTATTCTGTCGTGCTAATATCGTAAGAATCATTGGTCTTGCAGTTCTTTACGCTGCAATTGTGTAGGCTTAGTTCTTGGTTCTTTGTGGCCCATCTGCCATGCGCGAATAGCGATCGTTAGTGTGGGGACGGGGACGGCCCATGAAGTCACTCTTCTTTGCCACCCACTTCTTGGGAATTCCTAATTTCCCCAACATTTCTGCGCAGAGCGAAAAGAGAACGCGAACACCGCGCTGGCCTCCGGCCACGAGGACCGCCCAAGTTGAAAACAAAGCGCCCCCTGGTCGCCTTAAGGCCCCCCTTGTCCCCCAGCATCCCACGTAAGGCCCGTTCCTACCAGCTCCCGCGGCCTCCTTACGAGAGCATAACGACGTCCTTACCCGTTACTCACCCGCGTTACGAATCGACCCCATCGCGTAACCCGGCCACACTCCCCAGTACGCGCCACCGGCACCGGCCCCCCCCCCGCCGCCGCACCCACAGCTTCACCGCCACTGGCCCCGCCCCACCCGCATAAATAACGCATTGCCGTGCAGCGCTGCCGCAATCACTCTTGCTAGCCCTGCAAACGCTTGGTCCTCGGACAGCAAGCACCGTCAGCCGCCGCCGTCGCCTCTCCCCCGGTTGGCCTTCGCCATCCGCTCGGCGCGGCCCATTCGATCGCAAGGCCGAATTCAAACGTCGGCGGGTCGGCGGGTGCATCGATTTCGTATCCTGTGACGGCCCCGGGGAGGATGCCGGGCAGCGAGAGCGAGAGCATGAGCGCGAGCGACGCGGGGATCGACCAGGAGGCCGGCCTGGCCTCACCGCTGCTGCTGCCGCGGTCGTCGTGCGAATCGCGCGGAGGGGATGGCGGGGAGAGCGACAGCGACGGCGGGGGTGATCGCTGCGGGGGACTGGCCATGGCGGGGATCGCCGCAGCGGGCAGGTGGGAGGGCCGGGAGCGCGGGAGCGGGTGGATTCGCGCATGGGCTCGCGGGAAGGGCGGCAGGGCGAGGGGGGAGTTGCTTGTTGCTTGGGAGATGACATCAGGATCGGATCAAGTTGCTCGTCGGGGTGAGCTTGAGTGGGATCCCGCCGGTTTCCCAGTCTCCGTGCTGGGTGCCTTGCCGGAGCGAACGACGAGGCTGCGCGCGGGGGACGGCGGTGCCGCATTGCGCGCGGCGTGGCTTTGGGTGCGCGGCGGGGGCGGGAACGGACGGCCAAGCAGACGGCACGAGGATGGGTGAGAGGGGCGCCAGAATTTTGGACGCGTCAATTGGGACATGATGTCGCAAATTAGGCCATAGATGCGCATCCCGGTTTTCAATCCAGGGCTGCGGCATCTTGAGGCCGCCGTCGCGCGGCACCCTTTGACGAATCCTTTGCGGCATCTGCCGAGCAGTCGCAAACTCCGGCACTTGGGCCTGCGAGGTGGTGTCGGGGATTGGGCTGAGCCGAGAATGTCCAAATCGCGATCTGCACAGCGCCAAAATTCAAATTAGATCCATCGCAAACCACCAGGCATCACCGCTGTTTGCTTATATCTCGTGTGTACGTTGTACGTAATGTAGTTACTACACTGGTTTACGCGTACCTTCTCGTTTATTGGGGTGATGCGTGTCTGCCGAGGACGGCCTGCGGGGGACATGCTATGAGCCGGGGATCTTGGGCCCGATTGTGGAAGCTGCTGCGGTGCCCTTGGCCCTGGGACTGTTGCGCTCAAAGCGCAACATTCTGAGCGCTTTATTTTGCACATCATAGAGTAATTGATGTTCTATCATTACAGAGCGTTCTGGACTATTGTCCAGGTATGAACACCAGAGGTGGATTAAGTGGAGGGATGGGAGGGAATGTGGCAAGTTGCGGATTCTTGTAATGGGACTCGTGTGATTCTTGTGTTGCTGGATCGAGGAAAGTAATCACGAAAGCATGATTAGGGATTGACGAAACGATCCCTTTCAAAACACAGCTTGCACCATTATTACGCGATGGGTAGCCATATTCACAATGTAAAAGTTGTTTTTGCCAGTGGTTCCGATGCTTCAATTGATTCTGAACCGGACTTTGTCTGCCTCGTCGAAACACAACTTTCCAAGTGGACCACGCCTAAAGCAGAACAACCTCTTACATTCCATCGTTTACCACTGTTCATGTGCGCTTTCACTGCAGGCAATAGACAAACACTGGTGAACAATTCTCGATCGCGCTACACTTTTTTCGGCTTTGCCCCGCCGTTTTTGCCTTTGTCTCTTTTCTAAGGCATCTGAAGGTTCGGAATGCCGTGAAGCATGTGCATGAGTCCATGCCAACTGCTTTTGTCTTGTGTTAGGAGGTACAGCAGCCTCGAGGGGAGCCCAGGTGCCCAGTCCTTCCGCCCTTAAACTACAAGGTGACGCCCTTGGGGCCCCATTCCCTTCCCAAATCGTGTGGACCGCATTTAGCGACGGCTGTGGCATTGATATTGCCCCTCCACGGCACAGTTGGTTTGTGCTGGGCTGGATAATATTAGACCTCGCATGTTGGCTTTTTAACGCTAAATTGGTCAAGCAAACGTACATTTTTAAACCACTTTTTGATATTAGAAAGTTTAGTGGCGTTCGTGTACCAAGAATGGAATGCCCACCTCGGTTGAGCTGCGGCTGTCTTCCTCTGTTCACATGCATGCTTCTGCCTTCATTTATGAGCAACGGAGCAACATTTTTGGTAACCCATTCACCCCAGAAATGTGTTGTCCTGCACATTTCACATTGGGCTCTACTTGGGGGCGTTTGGCGGTGTGCAGAGAGTGCATTCCCCATCTTACGCTCGTGAAGGCCTCAGCACGCGATCAAGGTTCTGGAACGGCAGCATTGCGATGCTTTGAAAGGCAAGGTGGATAGGCTTTATCCATATTGCCTTTAAAGCATTTCAAACCAATCGCTTTTAAACATTCAGGCTGGATCAATGTTTCAACGACTACCGGTAGCTGTGTTGTTCGAACGAAGCTCATCTGTTACTGATGTGCTCAACGAGTCAAACACATCCTATCTGTGAGGGCTCCCTGCTTTTCCACGAGCACTCGATGCACCTGCCCACCTAGGATGGGGGTGTACAGGGTGACACTTGGTCGATTTTGTCACGCCTGGCTCTTCTGACTGACGCAAAGTTCTGATCCAGCTCCACTCCCAATACAAACACCCGCACAAGCGCGGGCCTGGGCGTGGCCCTTGGCGGACGGACCCCAAGGCACAGCCTGCCGGGCGCTCCGTGCCACCGGCCCGCCCCCGCAGTCCTCCCAAGCCCCGGTTCCGATACCGAACTGACCGGGGCCGCTGCTCGCAGGTACCTGTGGCGCTCCCCCATGTGCTGCGCCATGGCGAGCACCTCCATGTGGTTCGCCACGGACTGCGTGGTGCGCACCCTGGAGTGGGACGTCCCCGTCCTGGAGAACGTCTTCTTGCGCTCCGCCCTCAGCATCCCCACCCTGCTGCTCGCCTCTTGGCTGCTGGGCATCAAGCCCATCCTGGGCCACCTCAAGTCCGCGCCCTTCCTCCTGCTGCGGGGACTGGTGGGCTCCATCACCTGGATCTCCGTCTTTGGCGCCCTGCTGCTGATCCCGATGGGCGACGCCCTGGCGCTGCTGTTCGCCTCCAACGCCGTGGTGGCGGTCACGGCCCGCCTGCTGCGCCTGGACCAACGGTTCCGGTGGTTCTCCTACCTTGGCGTGGCGTGCTCTCTGCTGGGGATCATCTTCATCACGCGCCCGCCGCTCATCTTCGGCGGGGAGGGCGACCTCACCCCCAAGCGCAAACTGGGCATCTTCCTGGGCCTGCTGGCCTGCTTCGGCGTCACTACCCTCTTCCTGGTGGTGCGCTTCATCGGCAAGTCCGAGGCGCCCATCACGATCACACTCTACCTCCCCATGGTGGCCATCGTCATCAGCGGCGTGCCCCTCGCCTTCGGTTTCCCCCAGGCCATTGTCTGGAACGTCCGGCCCTTCGACATGGGCCTGATCGTCCTCTACACCCTCCTCTCGATCATCGCCCAGCTGCTGAACGCCCGCGCCATGCAGCTGTCCTCGGCCACGTTGACTTCCACAATCAACTCGCTGGAGCTGGTGCTGGGCCGCGTGGGGGACGTGCTGATCTTCCACACGGTCGGAGTCACCGCCCTGGCGATGGTGGGCACGGGGCTGATGTTCGTGGGTGCCGTGACGGTGGCCCTGGGCGGGGGGCGGGGCAAGGAAGGCGTGGAGCGGAGCGCCGCCAGCCGGCGGGACAGCGGGAGCAGGGCGGGCGAGGCGTGGCGGGAGGCGCCGTAGCGCCGGGCGCGTTGTCCAATGCGCGAGGTGGGGGGTTCTGGGAGCGTGGTGGACGACGACAATGGGCGATTAGGGAGGGACGCGGGCCTGTTTTGTGGCATTTTAGGGGTTTGGGGGTGGGGAGGAAGGGGGCTCCGTGGGGTTTGTTGAGGGCAAGTGTTCTGCGGCATTTGGGCAAGGACGGTTGAACGACGCGCCCCGCGCCGCGCTGGTGCTTCCAAAGGTTTTGATATTCATGCGCGAATGTGCTTCCACGCCTGGTTTTGGTGGATTCAACTCTCAGCGAGAAATGGATCGTTCCTGTTCTGGCATTCGTGCCTCTTTCCAACCATATGTTGTTATTGTTATGTTGAGTATTCTCAAAGCACCGTACTTGCTGAAGCCTACGAAACACGCGAAAATACCTGGAAAGCTCAGAATGTTTAACAACGTTCATCGTTTTCAAATTCTTTGTCCAGCCTTCTGTGCAATGCTGATTGGGACATTACGCAAGCCTTGATAAAGTTCCCAATCCATCTACAAGATATCGTGTATGGCTGGAATTAGAAACGGGTGGCGAAAGCAGCATGCAGCACTCAATCTTCATTCCAGCAGGGAAACAAGTACACTGCTGATGGATGATCAAACGCAAGGTTGAAACAACACGATTCGGTCCTATGTTGGCACCTTCTGAACTACAAACACACGTTCCCTAAGTTGGGTGCTCTTGCGATTCTGTGCTTTATCTGCTTTGAATCACCCATTGAACTCGAGAAATGACTTGTTGCGCGACATTTGCTCCCAAAAATTTGATAAACACTAATCTAAATCTACATGTAAGTTGGCTAAATATAAAAATCTAATAAATCTTATAGAAATCTAATAATATTCATCTAAATATTTAACAATGATATGAATGGCTTTCCACCTCTATATTTGCACAACAGCCTTTTACATGGATTGCTGCCGAAAACACCCAAAAGGGGCGTTGTTTGGAGTTCTTCCTTAGCGCAAAATTGATGGCAGATGGTCTGCTACTGGAGTAGAGGCACCTTTGACGTAGGTCTCTTTGGATGTGGCAAAATTTGCGCAGCAGCATACAAATTTTAAATGTCGTTAATACTAAGCTGCATCCACTGTATAGAATGCTTTTGTGGCTGGACATATCTAGATTTCACAATGTGCCTCGCCATATAGGCGTTATATCAGGTGGATGCAGCTTAGTATCTTATCATTATGGGCAGAGACCTGTGTCCTTAGGTTATTGAATCGGTTTTTGTTTTAAGCCTGGCCGTTGCTGGCATGAAAGCGATAAATGGTACATTGAAACGTGCGGGATGCAGAGCTGCTGTGGCAGCGCCGCTGGACCAGCTTGGCAAAAATTTGTAGGCCTTTTCTGTGAGCTCAACGGAGGCGCAAAATAGCTCAAGGATGGCGAAATCTGTCACAGTAATATCACCACCACATGCGATGTAGGCAGATGTCTCTCACCAAGCACTCACGCGTGCATGCGATCTACCTCCCTTCAACACCTTTGTTACGTGAAAATCATTAACCACAGCAATTTTGTCCCGGAGTTGAACACATTGTGTGACACGAAAGAATTCGCTGATCCATGAAAGCAAATCTTCGGCATGTCCCAATATATCTCCTTTTTTATGGATTCCACCCCAGATTGGACAGAATTGGCAAGAATCTCGAACACGAATCAAGAAATCGCAAGACGTACTCTTCACGAGGGTGCCAGAAAGGCATCCCAGCCCCCCTTGTCAGTACAGTTTCCACTGTCGACCTGAACGAGCATGTGACACCATTGTCTCTTTCAAAGTGTCATATTTTGTCTACCAAGAAATAAACCGAGGGGTGATATGCGTGGGAGAGAAGAACTGTATCTAACGGGCATTTCGAATGCACAGTGAGCAGGTAACCCAATATCCACTCTGCTGTTTTGAAACTCTGCAACAGAAAGTGGGCCCAGCCGCGCCGCAGACCTTGGCTGGTATTAGGGGGTGGCCTTTGCAGCCAAAAGTCGCAGTTGCGCTCGGAGACTCTCCTCCGGCTTATCCCTTTTGTGCTGGTGGAGTAGAGAGACGCGGTTCGATCTTGAAGAGGCTTATCCTTCCATAGGAGAAGTCCAGTGAGCGCCCTTAGACGATGGTGATTTAGGATAGTCGTCCTATCATGCAAATTTCACAGGACAACTCTTAGTATTCAGAATCGACACCTGGTCAGTACGAAAGCTTGCTTTTCACAAACTAGAGCCACTGCATCTTAATATCCGAATGATTACGTGAATCACTTCAACGACTTGTCCCATTGTGAGCTGTCAATCACGTACAAACGAATTAGAAGAACAGTCGAGAACTCGAAATCATCATGATATGCCTCATGTGCCCTCGAATTTGCATTGCAATTACCGTGAATTGCAGACATCGGTACTACCCTTTCCTCAGACCTCCTCTGTATCGTTGAAGCATGAAGCAACATTTCAGCGAAATGAATCAATCAAGGTCAGAGATGTCTCCGATCGCGATGAATCGAGAATGTCTCACCTTGGGCCATTTTCTTACTCGTCATGTTCTGATATAACTCCCTTGCGAAAGACACCAACTTCACAATACACTCAGCCAGGCGGGTAGAACTGGATCACAGGTTTGAATTCAACATTGGAAATTCTGCCACGAAGCACACTTTCACTGTTGCAAGCATGGAATTCATTCAATAATTCTTTCATCGAAGCCAGCTCGGCAGCCATTGGATACAAACGCACCAAACGTTATCTGTTCGCGAGAATTCTGGAGCTCCAGTATTATTTTCACTGGTACCAATTTCCAGTGGCAGCCGATGTCCTCGAAATATGTTTCTGCCGTCAGCTAAACTTTCGCATTAAAAAATTTAACAGTGTCTTGTCACAGTTTGCGGTATTGACGGTTAATGTTCTCCGTGAAAAATTTGGCCTTCTTTTTGAGGAACATAATTCGGGTAACTGTGGGCATTTGAGTTGCAACTATTGCACCAGTTTATACATAGGTATTGTAAGGATTCTCTTTCGAATGAAACTGCATGACTAGCCGTGGTAGTGCCTCCTGATGTCTAGACAAGTGATCTATGTGTGCCACTGCTGTTTGTTCAGTGATCAAAGTCGCCTAATGTACTTTTGAAATCTTAAATTAGGACGTACCGCAGATTCATTTTCTTAAATTCTTCGAATAGACCGAGAAACGCAAGTCAGCGATACTCTTGCAATTGCGTCCTGAATTGTAAGCAATTAGCGGAGTGGGTGGGTTGGCGGGGGGTCACATATTCTTCTGATCCTCAGTGCTGAGCTATTTTGCTATTCTTCTCTTGTACTGTGCGGTAACCTTCTCATGGCTGTCTCAAACGTTCCTAATTAGGAATGTTCGATAGCCTTAATATGCTCTTAACCAATAGATGCTCCTATGAGAGCATTGTTATCTGCCGAGGCATGGTAGGAAACACTCTCCACAAAAGGCTTTGGTCATTAATATAATCAAAACCAGGAAATCCTACTGATTCATACCAATCCAACAGATGTCAGTCCGAGAATCTCATCTGAACATATCCAGACGAGGCCCCAGCCATAAATCATGGTGCAGCTGAAGCAGTACTGATGTCAGCGAATCAAATCGTGCCAAAAAATAGAGATACAATGTCAAAATTCACTCATGAAATCGCTATATAGTAAAACAAAGCATCAAATGTTTGTTGTTCCTTCTTTCAATGCAAATAAATAGCAATCTGACGTGCATTGAGTTCAATTCGCCCACGCAACGGCCAGCGCACAAGCCATGTACATTGCCAGAATTTGGCAACACGGAGATTCCACGGAACCTTGAAATGCAATCATGCAGTCTATATTATGAGCGACAAGATCCCAAGAAATATATGTTCTCCACAAAAATCCATCTTAAGCCAAGTGCTGGAATGAAAATAAACCTTCAGTACCTAATTTTGTAATTCTCTCTCCAGTTTGCTTAGACGATTAGCAGATGGGATGGCTGCAAAAGTTGAAGTCCCGCACAGGGGAAGCTCTGTCCACATGGCTTATTTCAAAAACAGGTGTTGTCGAAATTCCGCAGCGGAGATCTTGTGATTCAATCTTTCTGCTTCTAGTTATCATTGAAACTTTTGAAGGCTTTGCCCCTGCAAAGCAAACCATTCTAATGTGGACATTCTACTCTCATGCCAATGTCAATATATTGGTAATGTGCGTGGGCAACATCATCGCTATCGATAGGTATCCACCCAAGTAACTCTAAATTTCATGAGCGGCAAACGACCAGCACCTATTTTGCTTCCAGATTAATGGTGTATGAAATGTTACCCAACTCCTCGTACTGCAAAAATGAACAATATTCACTCTATTGCATTCATAAAGCCTGCAAAACTGTATATCCTACTGCCACGGAGTGCTGAACTTTGAACTAGGCATCTTTTTAGTCTAAAGCTGAAGTTTGTTGATCTGTCAATTGAACACTTACAATCTCTACTGGCCGTTGAAGCTCACCTTGAGACAATTTGATAGCAAGTGTGATGATGAAGTGTTATTGCTGAAATGCGATGTCCATTTGCCGCATCAGACACATCCTTCCGTCTCACTGATGCTCGCGTGGCTGGCCTGGCGGAATGAGGGTTTGCTGACGAATTGACTGCTGGTGTGGGCAACCCAGTGGCGTCTTCATTGAGAGTGGTCAAATCATTTCCAAATGTGTTGTCCAATGTTCTTCTCCAAGTAATTCAGTCAACAAGAAGCTACCAATCTCGATTGCGGCACTAGTAGTCCTTGATTTGGGGGGATGTGCCACTGAAGCGTGATCTCATGATCTCTCCCTCGCTGTGTAAGGTTTTCCTACTTGCAATTTCCAAAGGCTGTTGCACCTTTTTATACGTGCTCTTTGTTGTGGTGATACGACATCTGCTTGCTAGCATTGGTCTGTCCACAAAATTCTATCCCCAGGTGCCAAATTATCATCAAATCCGTCGATTACATTTGCCATGAA